AGGGACTCTGGGCCTGTGTAGCGGTGTTCCTCCACCCGCAGGCACCTTTGTTGATCCTGTTGCAGTGCTTCGCATTTGTGCTGCCCGCGGCATATCAACCGCTGTCTGGTCTTCGACTGAGATTCCGCTCCGGGTTCAGCTGCGGATATCTTTCGGAGAAGTCGCGCCATCCGAGCAAGATCCTGTCGCAGGCCACACAGCTCATTCCAACAGTCGGGACCGGGGTTAAGGCAGCGAACCCTCCACAAGTAGCAAGAACGCGCAGCTGCAAATCGTAGAAGGAAAGGTCTTCGATCCTGAGCCATGAGTGCGTTGCACTGCAAGTGTCGATCATCCAGCCCGCTCTCCTTTGTTGATTGCAGCCAAGCCACGAAGTCACATAGTGGGACGTAGGCGCAACCTAACGCAGCAAAGACAGGCAGTAGGACTAGCAAGATAACGACGGAAAAACTACCGGCCGGTGGTGACACCCCATCAATGATATTGCATGACTGCACTGGGCCAGCAGCAGTGATGTACGCGCTGTTGGAGTCTGCATCGCTCAGCTGCAGCAACAGCTCGTACACATCGCCTCGGCATCTCAGTTCAAACATGATAAACTATTGCCAACGGACACATACAGCGACAGACATAAGGCCAGCATGCACGCACATGATGAGCACATCAGTAGGCAACTCCCGGGCTCGCTGCTACCAACCCTACATGCTCCTGCATGTGTCACAGCTGATTGCAGCAACTACGGGCATTTATCTCATACTGCACGGCTCATAGCCTCAACCCTAAACAGCCTTAAACCCAAAGTAGTGCAACTTACCGGGAGACGCCAGTCAACCGGGGCGCTTCTCTCCGATGCCACAGCGTAGATAGCTGTTTCTCGGGCGGATGTGTACACGTAGGAGCCCTGACTCCTGTCAAGAACACGGCTTTGCAAGAACCAACATCTAAGTAGATAGATAGATAGATAGATAGATAGATAGGCAGACAGACAGACAGATAGATATCTACATGCACTACACAGGTACATGCATGCATATGCATGTATGCATGTGTGTATGTGTGTATGTAGCAGAGGCACCACTGACCATGGCAATGCTCAGAAAGCAGGGATGGCAACACAGTCATTTGGGTAGTTGTCAAAATTATGGCCCCTTTTAGGGTACCTAAATAATAGGTGCCGTATTATAATAAGGACCCAAAAAAGGGACCATAATTTTGACAACCACCCATTTGTGGTTCACCTTCTTGCACACATTATTTGCTGACAGGGGTGTGGAGGACAGAAAAGCTGCCGGAAGCACACCAACGAGGGCGCGAGGATAGCTGTCAAGATCGCCGTCGTTGCTGTGCCCTTGCTGCGGTTCTTGTCGCTTTGTGGCGCAACTTTCGCTCCAAAGAGCACTGGGCTCGGGACAGAAGGAGAAGCCAAGGAACTGAGAGTGTCCTATGCCGGTCCTTTTGCAACGGCCTTGTCAGATCTCGACCGGACTGATAGCCCACAGCGCATAGGACTAAACCCTAAACCCTAAACCCACTGAAACGGCCCTTGCCCTGCTACACTCAAAGGCTCCTGACACTGCTGTTGCTGGCGAGGACTGCTTCCTCGGCGATCAGGAATCGAAAAGTTCATACAGCGGGAGGCCGAGAAGCAGGCCAACGACTAATGTAGGGGCCTTAAGAATTAGAATAGGGTTTTGGGGCTTTCTTATACTATAATCATAGTCAGGAACCCCCAAAACACTATAATCATAATCAGGAACCCCCAAAACACTATAATCATAATAAGGGACCCCCCAAAATACTATAACCCTAAACCCTTTTTGAACGAGGTCTCTCTGAACCCTAAACCCTAAACCCTAAACCTATAGGTACTTCTTTAGGCTTCTATATTCGATGCAGGACCAAGGTCGCTCTTCGGGTCCAGCAACTCTGTGACGAGTTTGCACTTGTGGCGGCTGCCCTTGAGAACCTCAGTGCTCCACTCTCTACTTGAAGGAGCATGGGACTTAGTAAGTATGGTTATAAGTGCCTCAATTGGGGTTATAAGTAGTTATAAGTATAGTTACCCGAATAATAACCTTGGTTATTAAGTCCCATGATCCTTTAAGTACCCATAGGCCCCATAATAGTTCCTTTTTGGGGCTCATACTTAGAATCCTTTAAGGCAATCCCAAAAAGAAACTACTATGGGGCCTATGGGTAACACGTCCTTTTCCTCGGGAACCCACTCAGTCAGGGCAGGCTGGACACCTCATACGATTCACCAGTCACAACCCTAAACCCTAAACCCGCCCAGCAGCAGAGCTGTCTTGAGTGTGCTGTGTAAAGACACGGGTCAGTGCTCCTGCAGGAGATGGACTTGTGATCAACATGGGTAGTTCTCTACATTAGGGTCCCCTTTTAGGTCCCCAGAATAATACGGCACCCTTATGAAAAAGGACCCTCAAAGGGACCCTAATTTAGAGAACTACCCACATGGTCTTCATTGCAACCTTCTCCACCATCCACTCAACCACTCAAGCCGGATGTCCTCCGTTGTTCTGTTCCAGCAGCTGCTGCTTGACCATGATTGCCTGCGCTGCTTTGGCAGATGGGCTCAGGTGGCCCAAACTATGGCTGCCGTGCTTTCTCCAAGACCCCGAAGCAACGAAAACCCATTGATCCTGCACGAAAACTACAGCAATGAAACAAGCCCGACCTAGGCTCTGGAGTGTAATATAGGGGCCCAAATAATTACCAATACTGTTTTGGGAGTTCCTTACTATGATTATAGCATAACATACCCCATCTTTCTGCCACCAAGGCTCAGTCGTCAAGTTCCGCGAATCTGCTGCCAGCGGCGACTCGGACTCCTCTTTGCCGCTCCGCTGACAGCAGATAAAGGGATGCAGAACCAGAAAACCAAACAAAACATGCAATCGAGTTTAGGGCTGTTTGGGGCTTTTAGGGTTTAGGGTTAAGGGTTTAGATCTTCATGGAAGCTACGAAACCTGCTTTGCCAGCGTGTTCATGCTTCTGTTCCTTGTCGGTCGCCGTCTTGGTGTTGGTGATGGCAGTGCATGCAGCCATATAACCCCAAGCCATCTTTGGCCTGCAAAAACCGTAGAAATCTGAACGTAGCCCGTCCGTCAGTCTCTCTGCGAGGATCAAAGCGCAGCTCGCTGTATCAAGCCTGCTGCGAGCACGACCTATGACCATTGCCATCAGGGTTAGCAATCTATGATGCAGATATCTACCGACCCATCTTGACAGATGAATCTGTGCAGGCATGCCAACATGCAAGTCGGTTTACCTATGCTGCTCATGCTGGGACTCTGCTTCGTTGCAAGTAGTTATGTACGTGCTTACTTACCCACAAATACCTACTAGCCTGTTGTCAGCATGTTTGCCGGCCACGTTGTGTAGGGTGAAGACTGCACATGATTGTGCAAAAGCGGATCATGACACCTGTTGATCCAGCCATACCCAGAAAATTTTGGCAACGATGGTTGTTACTGTAGCGGCCCTTAAGCCTTAAACAGAACTAGAACAACCAATAACACAAACGCAAAAAATCAGTGGAATTGTTGATCCTCTTGGACAGCATCTAACAGAGCTTCCACACCCATCCAGAGTTTGCTCAAAAACTCGAGTGCCCAACTTTGACGCTTTTTTCAATGCCCTAAACCCCCTAAAGCTCTAAACGCTAAACCCTAAACCCTGTCGGGAGACGGTAGCTTCTGCATCTCCCACTTGCTGGTGCTTTCGCCCTCGTGCCTCGGATCATGCGCGACGAAGCAATGGGGTTAACACAGCAGGCAAGGATCCACATATTTAGGTTTTTTTTTAAATGGGCCCTTTTCCAACTGCAGAACAGATTTGGGGTTTAGGGTTTAGGGCTTTAAGGTTTCGGATTTGGGGTTTAGGGTTAGGTTTAACTTCTGCAGCACTGTCTCTGGCCAGCGGCAATCCGAGGGTTTCTTATTAGACCTTTATGCTGCAGGCTTGCCAGCAATAACGCCTGGCAGGTAGCCCGATTAGACCTACACCCTAAGCCCTCTCTCTCTCTCGCGGACTCAGAGGTCTGTCTACACCCTTTTGAAACCGGACTTGATGACTGCCAGCATTGCCTGTTCTGCCGTACACCCTAAACCCTAAACCCCGAAACCCTAAACCCTAAACCAATCCGAGTGTTTTTTTGCTAGACGTCCCTTTTCCGCTTGCTGCGGTCTGGAAAGCGGTTCGTGCTGGGCGTGTTGAGAGGAAACCATGGCCTTCTGAGCATAGTAAAGGGGCCTTCATGATTAGAATAGGGTTTTGGGCTTATTATACTATAAATATAATATATAATAAGAAGGAACCCCCAAAATAGTATTGGTACTTATTCAAGCCCCTACATGACATCTGCCTGGCAGGGTGGATAACAGAAACTCAGCAGAAAAGACAACGGATTGCCTGACCTTCACATGGAGGTTTCCGAAAATCGGGGCCCCAAATATAGTACCCTAAATAGTAGGATCCGTATTATAAGGACCCCAAAATAAGGTACCCTAATTTTCGGAAACTCCCACATGACCTGAGAGTTTAGGGTAAAGGTTTCGACGCTCGCGCTCGGCCTCCCCAGGCGAAGCATGTGGCAATAATTGTCGTACATGGGTAAGTCTAGGTGATTGGGGGGTTGAGGGTTTTTTTTTTTAGACGACCCTGTTTCTGTCCCACAGTCAGGAAAGCGGTGATTTCCGCTGGGCGTGTGGAGACCGACCCGGTTGGCCAATCAAAGAAAGCAGAGCCTCGAGCTCAGCACGTAACCCCAACAACCTCACTCCTTGGACTTGTTGTGCATATCACGGAGGTTCTCGGCTTCACGACCCCCTTTCGACACGTCCTCCCCATGCCGCGAGCTAGCTGCCTGCGAAGGTGCCCCATTCAACCCCAGCTCCCGTTGGCGACGAAGTGCGAAGTCAGTTAACCATCTTCTGCCCCCCAACATCCAACAGCTGGCGTCCCGTCACTCCGCCATTGGCTCAGAGCTGGTAGAGGTCCTCCTTCGTCATGCGTTGCAAAGTTCTGTGGAACTCCATCTCCTCTGAGATCCGCTCTGGCGGAGTCTCTGGCTCATCTACCCCCATAGCAGAGTGAACATCTCCCGTGTGCCCGATGGCGAGGTGAGCCGGGGACACCGCTGCCGTGTCCATCTGTGTGCTCCCTTGGTGCAGGACTCCCTGTGGCCAGACTCCCGGCTCCATGGCTGATCCCATTGCCGATCCGGGCGTGTTCGGACCAAGGCCCGGCGAGGGCATACTGAAGTGGATCTGTACGCTGGCTCCGGGCGGCGTGCGTGCGGGGAGGTCGCGGTAGTTCTCCAGCCGTGGCTTCATGCACCGTGACCACCAGTCGTTGGCGCTTTTCCGCTGGCCCGTTCACCATCTCCGATGCCATGGCCCAGTCATCCCAGGCTTGAGCTGCACTGGCTGCCGCTCTAGCCTCGTTTTCCTTGTCCAGCATCATGTACTCATCGAACAAGGCCGCTCCTCTTCCTCGAGCCATCGTTGGGTGTCCGCGTGAGAGGGGGGGTGCTGGACCGTTTCCTCGTCCGAGTCGAGGACATTGGTGGCCTCGGGGATCACCGCTGACTCCAGGCCGGCAATGGCTGAGGCTGCATGCCTACATGGCAACGGCAGCACCGACCGAAGCTGATCAAACCAGGAGGCCGTGAAGCTGGAGTCCTGGTTGTCCAGCTCATTCACAGTGTCATTGCCTTCGTCCGCTACTGCGTGACTCGCCAACAGGGCTTCTGCTGGTTCAGCTTCAGGCGGCAGCATGACCCGGGTGCCGTCGCAGCTGTAGTGGCGGCGGAGGCTGTGGAGCAGCGTAAGTGCCCAACGAACACGGGCCTGGACTTCCAGCTGGGAAAGGCGCAGGTCGACGCTTTGTAGTACTTGATGGAGGCCCCCACCCGCCGGAGGTCCATCGGGAGCACCCGTCCCTCCGCGCAGGAAGGTTTGTACCAGGGCTTGGGAGTCATCCTCATGCACTCCGGGTTCGGCTGCACCCCGAGTCTCATCGTCGTGCGACAGAAGTCGGAGGGCTCCCCACCACGCACTTCCTCGATGGCAGAGAGACTCGCCACGGGCACTTGCTCCAAAGTAGTGTAGGTCTGGTTGCCCGGTCGAATGCCGTCCACTGCAGCGAAGATTCCCACAAACTGCCGGGGTGCTCCGGGGGAAGTGTCTCGCCCCAGGTTTTCGACCCGAATGCACCATTCGAGGTCGTCGACTCGGTCTTCAGGGATGAGGGGGTCGAGTAGCAAGTTCTCCAAGATGTGAGCAGTGGTTCAGCATAGTTCTCGTAGCTGTGGACTCCCCTGTTGAGGATGAGACCCCGGAAACGACGAGTCAGGCAAGCCGTCCCGCCGCCACAGTTCCGGAGGACGTCCAAGCTCGCTGCCGCAGCAGGCCGCCATCGCAGTATGCCAGGTTGGAGCTCGGCAGGTGGTTGAAGCTGTTGAGCCCCTTCGCTCGTCATGGAGCTGGGGCGTGGCTGTACTGCATGCGGCTCGGGAGGCGAAGGCAAAGTATCAGATTGGCCTCCTCGTGGAGTGCGTTCTCGGTCCTCGCGGGTAGGAGGGTGCACGTAGTCGGCGGAGTCTGCGGAGTCATTTTCAGTAGCGAGGGCGGGCAGCTGCATGAGCGCGGCCTCATCGTCAGTGTCCACAATGATGTCCACCCATTCTTCCTTTTCATCTACCCATTCCGCCCTTTCATCTGAGGCATGGTGTCGCCAGGCGTTGTCCGTCGACCCGGAGGCCCTACGGCCTTCGGTTGGGATAGGCTGGGAGGGTCCAGCTTTGGGCATCTTTTTGGGAGTGGGTGGTCGGGCTGCGGTCTTGGATTCCACCATCACCTCCTCGAGTTCATCACCAAGCCGTTGTATGCAGGATCCCAGGCTGCGATACATGAGGGCCTGCCCCGCTGGGCTCATGCCTGCCATGGTCTCCTGGAGGTTATGCTGCATAAAGGCAGGCACGAAGCTGGGAGTGAGAGGGGTCCGGGTCCATCTCCTCGAGCCCAAGGACACCACATAGCACTCCCACTGCTTCCGCCTCGGTGCGATGCTCGCCTGTGCATCTTGGGTGCACTGACCGGCATGTGTTGCCCTCGTCATCGAAGTGCACGTAGGAAGTGGAGCATCGCAAAGTTCTTGGCCCCAGTGGCCCAACAGGCCGGTCATCGGTCCGCCCTCGCCCGCGACCTCCACGAGTGGGGGCCTTGGCCGGCGTCCGCCCTCGTCCTCGGCCTGAAGGCTTTCCTGAGCTCCTCTTCCTGTTGGCTCGCTTTTTGGGGCGCCATGTACCTCGTCCAGCCATGAGGTTTGCTTCGTCGCCTTCGGGGCAGCAGGGCGAGGCGTCGTCATCAAGGGCAGGCGGGCGCTCTCGGCGATGAGGAGATCTTGACCTCGACAAGGTGCGCCTCTCATCGCGCTCTGCCTCGTACCGTTGGCGGGTGAGGAGGCCTCCTGTGCATCCAAGGGCTGCCAGCTGGCGCTCAAGTCGTTGGTTTTGCATGGCTGTAGGGCAGCAAGTCCACAGCCAGTTTTCGCGGAGCTCCGCGATGATCTGCGAGGCTTCTCTGGCCAAGGCCGTTTCGGCTGGAAGAGCATCTGGCCTCGATTGCAGGGGACGGTGGAGGTGCATGGCCCGCAGGAGTCCGTTGACGTAGAGCAGGGTGTCCTCGATGAACCGCTCGTCTGAGTACGTCCGCAGCACTGTCATGAGGCGATCTCCGAAGGCAATCCCGTCTGCCCCGTTGTCCATGAGGAGGCGGACTCGGTCCACCATGTCCCACCACCATGCAGGGGCATCTTCGTCCTCGAAGGGCTCGTCGAACCCTACGACGGTGGTGAGGATACTCAGGCCAAAGGTGGTCGGCACCGTCAAGAAGGAGGCAAAGTCCGGGAGGTTCTCGAAGGTCACAGAAAGAGGGGGGTCCGGGTTCGTGGGGTCGCAGTGCTCGTTGTGCTCGTAGTGCTCGAGGGTCGTGCAAGATGAAGTTTGAGAGGAAGTAGAAGGCGAGGACACCGGGCACACTCTCGGAGAGGTCGTGGCCGTCAGCCCCCGCTGGGCAAGTGCCATTACAGCAGCGCCCATCAAAAGGAAAAGGTCCATGGATGTCATGGCGGTACGCAAGCGGAAGCAGCTAAGGTCAGGCTAGCTTCCCACGAAGCGAAAGACTGCAGAGGAGGGACATGTCAAAACTCTCAGGTAGGCAACCTTCACATGCGCCATGTCCCATCAGCAGTCGGCAGTGTTAGTCCTGACTAAGCGCAAGCTGTCTCCCAGAGGACCACGGACAATCCACTCTGTCCACCCAGGCCCGTGTTAGGCCTGCCCAATCGGCGCGCCGCTGAGCTGCGATCCGCCAGGGTCCTCCTGCCGTCAAGTCAAGGTTGCGCTCACCGTTCATGAGCCTCGGGTAGTGTCGGGGATGCTTGATTCTTTCATCGTCTTTCCGCTTCTGTTCGGCCACCCACCATTCAAGGGTACGATGATACGAACAGAGCAGGCCCGCTGCAGGTACTGGGTCGTGCAGCAGTGCACAAGCACAGTGTCCCATGTATAACCAATAGCGTTCGGCCCATATTGTGCTCCACCTCTTGTGGTCCCCTTTCCACAGCACCCCCCTGGCCGCACGATAGGCTTTCTTGCGGAAGGTCAGCCACGTTTCGCCATCCCCCCGTTTGAGATCCATCATCGTGATGACCAGTTGGAGCTGGAACGTGTTGACGAGGTGAAGTGCCGAGGCTTCCGGGTAGAAGCCGCTGATACACCAGAGCCCCGCCCCAGCGACCACCTTTTCCAACACACGGAGACGGGACTGGAGAGGGGTCTTCGCACACAGCACTGTCTTAAGAATTGTTCTTCCAAAACGAGTCACGGGCCTTGGCCAGTAGACCTGCAAGTATTTCGCAGACGGTAGCTTTGACATGGAGCTGAAGGCCCATGACAGTCAAGCGCGGCGAGGCGTGAAGAGCAACCCCCATGATGGTAATCGACCGGCCCCCTTTGCTGGACGGGCTCACATAAAACTCGCACTTGCTCAGGTTGATACGAAGGCCACACTGCCGTAAGACTGCCGCCCACTGCGCCACTCGTTGTGCTAGGGTAGCGGTCGAAGAATTCCAAAGCACACCACCGTCAACGAAGAGGAGCTCACTCAACATCAACCCAGGCAGGGCCGGGTCCTCGCGCGGCCAACGGTGTTGGGCAGCAGTCAGCTCCACTGTCAACTCAGCCAGACACGAGAAGAAGAGTGGGGACTCTACTGAGCCCTGACGAATACCTCGCTGGACCTGGATCTCACTGCACCCTCAGGATGTCTCTAGAGAGGCAACGTTGTTGGCAAGCAGGAGCTGCCATATCCGAAGCTCATGTCCCCTGCCCAGTTTCTTCTCAAGAAAACGAAGTAGAGCGGGACGGCTTACCAGGTCGAAAGCTTTCTCTAGGTCAATTTTCAGGTAGGATAGCCCAGCGGCCCATTCGCGACCAAGGCACTGGAGGCGGTGCAGGGAAAAGACTTAGTCGGTCGTCTGCTTGGATGGGCCGGCGCACTGGCAGGCTCCTAGGGGCCGGATGTGTCGCTTCGCTCTTTCAAGTATCACCCGGCAAAAGGCCTTAGACACCGCCGAAGACATAGAGATTGGGCGAAGTTCTTTTGGTAGTACTGGTTGGGCCACCTTGGGGAGGACAATCATGAGCGATCTATACCAGTTAGCAGGGAGATCCCCCAATTCCAGAAGGTAGTTAAACCAGGCACGAAGAGCTTCTGCCCCTCCCTCAGCCTCCATGATCCCTAGGAGGAGGTCATGACTCGTACCATCATGGCAGACGCTGACTCCGGTTTTGCCCTGATGAATTGCCGCTTTCAGTTCATCCATGGAGATAGGCACAAAGGGTAGTTCCGGTGTCATGGGTTTGACACAGTCATCCGATGTGTAGATGCCCTGGAGGTGATCGTGAATGACCGTGTGGGGCTCATGGTGCGCATCCGCAAAAGAGTATTCCCAGTCCAAGTTGGTTCTCTTCCGAAACCTGCGAAAAGCTCCCCAGTTTCCCTTGCAAGCTTCGGCAAGCTTCTCCTTCTCCCACCTCACCCTGGCCTTACGACGAGCCTGGAAGGCTGCTTTCCAAGCATCCTTGTCCCGTCCATGACGTGCCATGCGGAACAGGACTTTGACATCCGCCGGGTCCTGGTAGCTCTCGCCTTTTTTGGGCTTGGTGTGCACTGCCGCCAGCCTCTCAAGTTCCGTCTGGTCCAAGGAGGCGATTGCACGAAGGGGAGTGGCTAGCGATCTGGGGCGGGTATCCGTCCTGCGATGAAGTTTCTTTCGCTGTAGGCACACCGTAACTCTCAGCATATCATGGTCTGTGCCAAGAACAGAATGACTGCCGCATAGGATCTCCACAGCCCCCGTGCAAGCCCGTGCTGAAGCGAGGAAATCAATCTGCCTGCCCTGCCTACCTTCCTGCCGCGGGCATGTTGTCGGGGTCTCTCGTTGAGCCGGCCGAGGCGAGTTCACCTGCAAGGCGCGGGAGGCGAGACCATGCAACAACCCCAGAGTCTTTCCGTTTCGGCCCACGGCCACCGGCAAGCCTGACTCATCCTCGCCCCAGCTAAGGGCAGAGTTCGTATCGCCTGAAAGTATCCCCGGGAGGTTCGTTGTGGGAAGGGCCCGAAGCAAATCTCGCACAGCAACAGCATGCCCATCCTGAGACAGTTCCGGCTTAAGGTAAAGGCTCCCGACCCACAGTTCACTGCCTTCCTGCACGTGGCGCAGGCGGTACCAAGTGCCCCTCTCGGCCTTCAGGCGTCGCATGAGAGTCCAGGAGTCCTTTTTAAACAGCACGCCCGTACCGCGCCACTCAGACTCAACTCTATGCCCGACCATTTTCCACTGCCCAATTGGCTTGGCATTCCATCCTGGGGCGGACCGAGGGAGTTCCTGTAGCAGCACAATGTCGTTGTCGGACATGGCAAAGCCGGCCGCTTCACGGATCATGGAGGGTAGGTCATCGAGAGTTTCCCCCGCCCACGTTCCACCCGAAGATTGTCAGCGAGTGCTCCTGCCCGGGAGGCGAGGCTCAGTACCTGTGTTGGCTGACTTCGTCCTCCACGGTTTGTCGAGAGATCTTGAGGAACTTAGCAACCTTGGATTCGTTGACCCAGGCAGGTCCCGCCCGGGTCTCGATGGCCCTGCTCCCCGATCCGTCCGGAGGGGGTCCCATGCCTGCCACCATGTCCTCACCCAGCCAGGCCGCCCCCTGGTTGTAGTCCGTGTCCAGCTCGCCAACGAGATTGGGTCTGTGGCCCATGACGATCTTCTTGATGGACCCTGCCACCGAGGCCCGTCCTCGTTCAACTGGTGTCTTCGAGAAGGACGACCAAAGGGATCGCTTGCCCCCTTCGAGCGCCAGCTCCGCGCGGTTGACCTCTTGGAGGATCTCGAGCATGCGGCGGCGGAGGTCACCAGCGGTTTCTTGTGGCCGCAAGGAAAAGTTGCAAAGAGCGACAGCTCGCCTTGGGCCCGTACAAAAAGGGTCCGAGTCGAACAGCTTAAGGAGACCGAGGTGATCGAGCGACTGCTGGAGTTGGTGGAGGATGGTGCGCTTGCGGGTACCCTCTTGCCACCCGCCGAACACTAGGGTGTGTCGCCGTGTGTCTCCAGATCCAAGGAGCTGTGCGCTCTGCTGTGCCAACATCATCTGCAAAGTGGTAACTCCAACGTGAATGGCGTCCCCTTCAGCCACGTTTGCCCCGGCCACTTTGCACGCCTTCGGGCGCTTGGTGGGCGATTCTCCGGCCCGAGGTGGTCGGTGAGCTCTCTCCTCGGCAAGGTCCTGATCGTCGTCGTCGGGTACACCAGGCACAGGGGGGAGAGTCGCCCATGCACCCAGGCCCAGCTCAGGAGGTCCTTGCGGAGAATCGCGTAATCGAGGGGCTTCAGAGAGTCCAGGACCGATCAGGTAAAACGGCTCCTCGACAGTCGGGCCCCTGACGACAGACAGTCCGGAGAAGGCCGCTCAGCACGTCAAGTAGGGCCACACACCCCTGGCTACGCACACCCACTACAGCAACCTCCGGGCCTTGAGCCAAAATGGCTTGAGCCAAAATGGGGGGGTTCAGGGTTTAGGGTTTAGGCTTCAGGTTTTCGGGTTTAGGGTTTAGGGTTTAGGGTTTGGGGTTTGGGGGTTCGGGGTGGGTGTACGTCCGAAAAGCAGCAACCAGCTTCCCCTAGAGTTGGTCTTTATCAGGCCTGTCCCCACTTAAGATCCATCTCCCAGGCTTCTTGCTGCACGGTGTCTGCTCGACTGATATTCGAGCGAATTGCGTGCGGCCAGATAATCGCCTTGGGCGGCCCAATGCAACTTTAAAGAATGACGCATGCCTGAAATGCACAGTGTCCGGTCGGCTGTTGTCGCATCATCGTCGGCCGCCGGGCCGAGGCGAAATAATTACCTACAGTTTTTTGGGGGTTCCTTATTTTCACTATAGTATAATATACCCCCAAAACCCTATTCTAACTACTACGGCCCCTATATTAGATGTGTTTTTGCTCCGCATGTGATGCAAGCCGGCTGCGACCTCCCAAGTCAAGCCGAAGAGCAAGTGTTGCTGAATGATCGAGTTGCGGGCGTCTTTAGGCTTCCTCCGGTGGTCCAGGCCAAGGGTTTGGGGTTTAGGGTTTTATTGTTTTGGGTTCAGGGCTTAGGGTTTTTTTTTGCTAGTGCCCT